GGAGGGGGCGTTGTCGGGTCGGGTCCCTCGTCCGCAATGTTTGCTGAGTCCTCGTTTCGTAATCAGTGACCCATTAACTCTGCGAAACACGCCAATACAAAGGGCTCGATATTTGTTTCCAGGGTGTGTATGTTGTGTCTTTTCACGGAGGATGTGTAGTCAAAACAGCCCTAATACCGAACCCCTCGAATGAGTAGGGGAGGTTGTGGGCATAGTTCTCCCCTGTTCTGTCTTGTCGCCTGTCTGAAGCCCAGTTAGGTTCCCTTGTTGCTGTAGGTGTTAACACTCCGTCCTCCCTTTCCTCGTTTATTTATTTTCCAGAGTACACAAAACAGGACGTGGTTCTAAAAGTCAGAGGACGCAAGAGGTCGTATTCGGAGAAGCAGACCAGTGCCACCACCGTCGCCTCACCCTGTCCCCACCGGTCCCCACAGACAGCCGGTCCTGCCCGTTTCCGGGCAACCCGTTTTCCTGGGTGCCTTCTGCAGGAGTGGACAGGTGCACGCACGCTCTCTGACTCACCCCCCTTCTCACACCAGAGGCGGCACACCGTGGACACTCGCGTGCCCTCCGCTTCCTTCTCACTTGACAACACGCCCCAGAAACCAGCCCACACGTTTCCCAGAGCCTGTCCCCGTCACATCCGCACAGGTCTCCGCTGTGCCGCCCCACCGCAGCCCGCCCTCCGGACGTCCTTCTGCACGGTCACGTTCAGGTGCTCCCCAGTGTTTCCCAGCCCGGAGGACGCTGTAACCAGCAACTCAGTGGTGCGGAAGGACCTCCATGCTGTTGGCAGTGGGATCACTGGGTCACAAGGAAGTGTATACGTGGTTTCATTAGATATCTATGAAATTTTTTAAAGCCTTTTATGGTTCAGGAGCGGGGCAAGGCTACGGGAGGCAGGAGTGAGGGCGAGAGGGAGCGGAGGCTGGCAGAAGGAGGACAGGTGCGGAGGAAGTGCACAGGAACGGTGTCTCTGGTGCCCAGCTCACTGGGGCCTTCGGGGAGGCCCCCCCACATCTCATCCTGAGCCACACGGTTCTGCAGCGTGTCACATGCGTTCAGCCAATTGCTGTGCTTTTTTCTCTGCTGGTCGCCACTACACACTTTAAAGAGGGGGTGCGTGTCGCACACAAGCGTCCCGGAGAAACAGACCCGAGTGCACCTCTAGAGCATCAGTCAACCCCTGGCTCCCTCAGTCCTCGCCTGTGAGCAAAGGTGTGAGCAAGTGTGTGTGTGAGAGCCTTTGCAGGAACCCCCACCTGGAGAGAACCCCCACTTCTCCCCAGTGACCCTCCCGGACTCTGTCCTGCAGTGGCTGAGTGCCGTGTAGTCCTTCCATCGAGGATCCCCCTCCCAGTCCTAACCCGGGATCTGCCCGAGAGCTGCCGGGTCTGCGCAAGGCTTACCCCTGCGTGGCGGCCACGCGTGCGGAATCAGGGAACATGGCCAGGAGAGCGGGCAGTGGACACGGGGATCGGAGCCCAGCCCGCTGCTGCGGTCCAGATTCGAGAGCCCCCACCAGTTCAGCACGGTGAGTTAAGCCACTCAAATGGGAAGCACCATCCAGAGGGTGGGCCCACCTCGAAGCAGCTGGGGACTCGAGCTGGAGGTGAGGCCGAGTTGCAAGGACTTGAGCCCTGGTAGGGCACGTCCACGGGGGCCAGTTAGTCCAGGGGCAAATGGAAGGGGCCCAGGGGTCCCTGAAGGTATGGCTGTGCGATAAAGCAGTGACACGAGGCCACCCGGAGTTCAGTCGCCCTCAGCACACGACGGTCCGCCCCCTCCTAGTTTAATAGGTTAAAGACTTTGGTGCTTAAAATGATAAAGTGTCAGTCAACCTGCAAACTTCATCTCCTCCCGAGTGACTCATTCGCCGTAAGTGGAGAATAATACAGCTCCGTTCTGCTTACACGGCTGGGTTATTCCAGCAGGAGTGACAGCTGTCGTCTGAGCTTTACCTGGTTTGACATCGTGGGTGTCAGTGTGGGTGCGTGGTGGGGCTGAGTTTCCTCCCGTTTTTTTCAGAGGTGACGGCCGAGGCCCCAGCCGGAAGGGCCTGGAAGGTGGGCCTTCTGGGGCCTTGCGCAGAACCGATCCCAGTGTGGGGTGGGGGCTTCCTCGGGCCACGATCCCTCAAGGGAATGACCCAGAGGACGGCCCTATTCCAGGACTCATGGTTCGACAAGGCTGGGCACCTTCCAACCGCCCCTGACCCAGAGGGGTGCTCCGCAAGTGTTTGCCCAGTGGACAAAAATTGCATCATCCCCACGGTCTGTGTTGCAAGCTCCTGCCTGCAGTACACACAGTGGTGGGCGGGCTGGCCCCTGCCGCGAAGCAGAGAATGGTGAATTATTCTGGGAATTCAGGCTTGTGGGAGGTGGGGCGGGGGTGGGGGGAGTGGAGCTCAGGGCTAAAGTGAAGTTCTGAGAACACTAGAAGGCTCCACCTCCTTTCTCCCGCGTCTGGGCTGGGCTCCCCTGAACCTGTCCAGACCCATCGAGGACGGCCTTCCCAGGAGGAAGACGCCCTGGCTCAGATCCGCCTGGCGCTGTGCTGGGGGTGGGCTGGGGTGAGGCCAGCCGAACGCCCTCGCTCACTCGTATCCCACAGCTCAAGGTGTCTCCTCATGGAGCTGGGGAGACACTTGGCCGCCTAACAGGAGCTTGTCACGTGTGTTCCCAGACCTTCTGGAAAACCACCGCAGGCAGGCGGGGCTCATTGGAGAGGCTGGGACCCTGAGAATCCTGAGGATTTTTATCCCCAGTTAAATTCCTCTCTTGAATTAGCTGTGTGCCCTGAGGCAAAGCACTCACTCTCTCTGAGCTTGCCTTCTCACTTTCCTAGCTCCCTCCCCACAATGCCGGGAGTATAGGGAGCACTCAACGTGCTGCGTAAGTAGAAGTCTTTTAAAAAATAATAGTCACCGTGGATGTCGACTCGGTGCCTAGCACGAAGCAGAACAGTTTCTGCGGATTCTCTCATGCAATCCCCATGTTGCTCAAGGAAGGTACTATTGCTCCCATTTTAAAGATGAAGAAACCAAGGCTCAGAAATAGGGCCCTGACTGGTGTGGCTCAGTGGACTGAGCGCTGGCTGTGAACTGAAAGGTCACCGGTTCAATTCCCAGTCAGGGCACACGCCTGGGTTGCGGGCCAGGTCCCCAGTTGGGGGCGTGTGAGAGGCAACCAATTGATGTTTCTCTTGCACATCGATGTTTCTCTCCCACATCAATGTTTCTCTCCCTCTCTTTCCCCTTCCGTAAGGATACAATCTGAAATGTGTCCAAGGTCACGCAGCCTTGCATGGGGTGGCAGAGACAGAAGCCAGATCAGAAGCTCCCGTGCGTTGGCAGACAAACCTGGCTCCTTGGAGAGGCAAGGACACTCCTGGGAGAGACAGTGGGGCTTGTGGGAGGCCAGCACCGGAGGAAGGTTCCTGGGCTGCTGCCCTTCATCTCCAGGGGCAGGGATCCCTCCACGACGAGGTCCCTGTCCGCACCACTCCTGACCGCTGCGGTCGACTGCAGCGTTTGCTCCTATAGCAGAGGGTCCCCACGGGGGGGTGATTTTTGGTTCCCCGACCCACGGATAGATATTTAGTCTTGTCTGGAGATGGTTTTGGCTGCCACAACTGATGGGGTCCACTGACATCTAGTGGGTGGAGGCCAGAAGTGCTGCTAAACATCCCACAGGGCATAGGACAGCCCCAACCCGAGTGACCCAGCCCAGACGTCCCCCCAGTTCGGGGGCCAAGGCACCCTGCCTGGGAAGACAGGACTCTGCTGGGCTGGGGGCGTGGCCCTTGCCTGAAGTCCTTCTTCCGGATGGAGCACGCATTATCCCCACTTCCCAGTGAGGCGGCTGAGGCTCAGCGAGGCTGGCGGGGGGAGCTTATTCTGGAGCTCTTGTTTGGAAAACCGGGGTTCTGTCCTGGGGGCTCCCCCCAGCCCCGTGGACTTGGGAGGGGACCAGCATCATCAGGAGGAACGTGACGTCAGGAAATCTGGATCTGGTCCTGGCTCTCTTGTAACCCCACTGGGTCACCTCGGGCAAGTCACTGCCCTTGTTTCTTATGCTAGGGTCCCCCCGAAACTGGCTGACACTGGCTGCCTACCACTGACAGGCGCCTGGGGTGCTTGCACACGGGGCGGGGTGGCCCGGGTTCTGACGGGGAGCATCCGGGGCCTCCTCAAATGCCTCTGTCCACCTCTGCACAGAAGACGGAGGGAGGGCGGGGCACAGAGTCCCGCCACGAGGGAGGCCTGGGGAAGGGGTTCTCCTTGCGCAGGAAGGATGGACCCCCTGGGTCTGCCCACCCCCAGCAGCTCCAGAGGCAAGCCTCCAGGTATGGACTCCCAGAGTCTAAAATTAGATCCCCCCCCCAAATAAATGGAAAAAAAAAATTAAAGCCCTGGCTGGTGTAGCTCAGTGGATTGAGCTCGGGCTGTGAACCAAAGTGTCACAGGTTCAATTCCCAGTCAGGACACATGCCTGGGTTGCAAGGCCATGACCCCCAGCAACCGCACATTCATGTTTCTCTCTCTTTCTCTTTCTCCCTCCCTTCCCTCTCTAAAAATAAATAAAATCTTTTTTAAAAAAGGTAGTTTCATTTAAAAAAAAGATTCTCTTCCAAATTTAGCCAAACTCAGCTGTCCCCCAGTGCACCCTGATGAGCTGGGGTGGGTCTCCTCAGTGTGAAATAGCCTCCCGTTGGGTTTCAGACCCACCTCTGCCTGGGAATGAGGCGTACTGCCCACCCACTGGGGCCTTTGGGTGGGGCTCCAGACACGGCACGGCAAGATCCACCTTAAATAGCCCAGAAGCCAGAAGGGAGACCTCTCCCCACCATTACGGGGTGGAGGACGGTTCGTTGGGGGTGTTCTGGTTACAGGGATGAAAGGGCTCTGGGGCCCCAGCACCACTCAGAGGCAGGGACAGGTCCCCAAGACCCTGAGGCCCCAAGGACCCCCGCCGTGCTTAGGAAACCGAGGCAGCCCCTGCAGTGGCACTTAGCACTCGGCTGTTTTATTCTCAAATGTAAAACGGAAGGGAGGTGGGGCCCAGCTCGGCACCACGTGGGCCGCTCCCCCTCTTCCCGGGGCCCACTGCCACCTTGTCTTCTGCCCACGCGTCAGAAGGAACTCCTGGCCTCTGGGATGTCACCCCGTGCGCCACCTGGGTTGGAGGAGGAAACACTCTTCCCGGGACAGCAGCGTCCGAACAACCAGGCGGGGCGCCGCTGGCCACTCGCTGGGCGTCACCGGAGCTTCCCGGGCCACGTCCGGCCCGGCCTCAGCGGGTCTTCCCCCGGCCCTCGGAGATGACCTCCTCGGGCTGGGCCCGCATGTACCACTCCACCCAGGAACCGTCGTAGATGGCCACGTCAGGCTTCCCGCAGAGGTAGGCCCCCAGGGCCACGTGGCAGGCCGTGACGCCGGAGCCGCAGGTGGCCACCAGCGGCCGGGCCAGGTCCACCCTCTGGTCCTGGAACAGGCGGCGGATCTCCTCGGGGCTCTTCTCCAGGCCCTCGCTGGTCAGGAAGTCCGTGAAGGGGATGTTCACCGTGCCGGGGATGTGGCCAGGTTCAATGCCTGCGGCGGGAGGGCGGGAGGAGGGAACAGATACCACAAGGGTGGTATGAGCAGACCCCTGCGGTGCTGAGAGCCTCCCCCGCGGCCAGGGCGCTACACCCTCTGTGTGCGCTGTCTCCCGGGGTCCTCGCTGCTGGAGGCCAGGCGCAGCGTAAGGGCATTCCCGTTCCACAGACAGAAGTGCTGAGTTCAGTATCGCCCGGGGGCCTGTCTCTAGCAAATGGCTGGCTGCAATCTGAACCCAAGACTCCGGGCCCCCCAGAGCCACACGGGGCCCTGGTTTCCTGACGACGAGGTGTCCCGGGGCTACCGAGGTAAACGAGACCTCTGCCTCGCTGGGACGGGTTGGCACGCGCGGTCAAGGAGTTTCGGTCTGGCAGCGCAGAAGGCCATAACCGAATAATTATGAGGACGATGGGGCTCCCAGAGGCCCTGCTGCGCAGGGCACGTCCCAGGTGACAACAGCCGACATTCCTGAGCGCTCACTTTGGGCCAGGCACTGTTCTCAGCACGTTGGCTGCAGTTTCTGCTTTCATCCTCCCAAATGCCGTGGGAAGGAAATTCCCACCCTTCCCTTTGTACAGGTGAGGAGGCTGAGGCACCCAGACTCACCTGCCCGAGTCAGTGCAGGCCGACAGGCCCGGGAGCCTGTGCGCTACCCATTGGGCAGCACTGCCAGGGAGGGGTGGTCTCTGAGAAAGCCCTGAAGGGTGACTAGGATTCAGCCTCATAGAGGGGTCTGGGCCGTGGGGGCTGACAGCATCCCAAGAAGAGGGGCTTCTAGCGGACAGGGAATAGCATGGTGCTTAGAGGGGCTAAAGGTCATTGTGGCCAAAGCCCAGGCAGTGGGTAGGCCGAGGCCCAAGGGGAAACTGAGGCAGGTGGGACCACCTTCACAAGCCTGGATTAAGCCTTAGAGCTCTGACATGACCGAGCGAGGAAGCCAGACCTCCGTTTTCCAAAGGTTATTTGGGCCGCAGCGGGGAGAGCCTGGGCGAGGCTAGAGAGCCACTCTTTTAGAGGACGGTCCCTTCGCCCGCACCTGCAAAAGCTCCCGGGGCTCCGAGCGAGCGTTCGGCTTCCACCGCCGGTTATTTCGTCCTCCCTGCCTCCTCCTCTCGGGCCTGTGTCGCTCACATTCCCATTTTCACACCAAGGGCTGATATTTGCAATAAAATAAACCCTGACAGCCGCCTGGCCTCTAGGGTGGCTTCTGCCTCAGTGTCCCCCATGCAGCGGGGTGACGCTCCCCCAGGGAGCTGCTGACCCATGTCACCATCTCTGCTCAGGGCTTCGTGTACAGCCAGCACCCGAGGCCGCGGTGAGGCTGGAAGGTGTCACGCAATTCCACTCAACAGAGGCAGAAAGCGGGGCCAGTCGGAGACGTTACCAAGAGACTAGCCCGGAGCCAAGACGCAGAGCAAGCCCTCGGCCCAGGCTGGCTCCTGCCAGAGGGGGGCTGTCCCCACGCCTTCAGCCCCAGCAAGCAAAGCAGGCTTCCTCCCCCACCCCCTTGCTGGAACCGTGTGGCCGATCACAGGCGCGCTTGGCCAGGCCCCGGGCCGGGGAGCCCGGGTGATGGGAACAGTGATTCCCGCCCTGGTGCAGGCCGAGCCTCAACACACATCCGCTCCGTGCAACGTGACGGCTCACCTGCTGGGTGCCATCTCCTTGCCGCCCGTTTCCCGGAGTAGCAGGCGCGGCGGAGGGAGGCATGACCACCAGAGAGGCACACGCTTGCTATGTCACTGCCCATTTCCTGTGTGCGTGCATGTGTGCGCGCCATGTGTGCCCACACGGAGCAGACTGCCTTATACACCTGCCGCCACGTGACATCTGAGGCGGGCCACGTCCTTTAAGTTCCGTGCTCTGCTGCCACCTTACACACGCAGAAGCCACAATTCAGAGACCGCCAGTGCGGTCCGGGGCAGGGCTCTGAACCGGGGTCTGGTTCTGGCTCACCATCCTATGTTCTTCACTCCCTGTCGCCACCCCTCCACTCCCTGGGGGCTGAACCGAAGGACCCAAAGGGGTCAAGGTGGCATCCTCTGTGAAGCTGAAATGCATGACATTGCTACCTGTGTAGGTTTAAAAATGGTTGGGTACCAGCAGGGTTCACATGGTTTGACCAAGTATCAACCTCGCTCGGCAGGTTCCGTGCAGCAGGGACCTTCTGAATTTGCCAAGCCTCTCTGGGGTACCCACGGACTCTGTGCCAGCCCCTGGGTGAGCTTCAGGGTGCACTGGGAACAAGGACAACCTTGCCCTCGGGCCACCAAAACAGAGCCAGGACAGGGTGAGCCCAAGCGGCTCTGCCAGCACAGAGAAGCTCCAACCTTGATTCGGGGGCCTGGGGGTGCCATTCAGGGAGAGCTTCCTGGAGGAAGTGGCAAGTGCCTGACCCCCTCCGTGCAGCAGGCGCAGGAGCAGTGGCTGGGGAACCACCGGCTGCCCGCTGACACTACATGTATGGGCTCCGGGAGCTCAGCTCCTGGCCTGGCCGCTTCCTGACACCCATGGCAATGTTGCCGCTCTGAGCTTCCATTTCCCCCTCTTCTCTGCGGTGACAGCAGACCCCTGGAGGGATGATTAAGAAGCTCACACCAAGTGGCCGCTGACTGGCCTGCTTTGTGGAGACCCCTCCCTGACGCATTCGGGGCTTCCCTTCGGGGTTCTTGCCCCGAGAATCGAGCCCCACCCAGGAGGCCCTGCCTCACCCCCAGGCAGCAGCCCCCTCTGTTCAGTTTCTGCCCCAACCCGGGGCAGCCACCTCTATTTACTGCTCCCCCACCCCCCATCCCTCCGCCAGCCTTGGCCCCTCTGAGGGATTTCCCTGTCCTCCCAGGCCCTGCCTCCTCCTCTCCCCCGACTGCATCATCCTAGGGGATGGGGTACACCGCATCAGCTCCCTTCCTTTGGAGCTTCTCCCGCACTGGGCTTGCCCACCACCCCTCCAATTCTGCAGTGACCCCTACGCCCATATATTGGGCTGAAGCCTTTTCGGTTCTCACACATATACAGGGCACCCTGGGCTCCCAACGAATTTTGGGTAGTTGTTGCCCCAAGTGTGGGTGGGTGGGTGGGGGGGCAAGTATTATTGCCCCACTTGAGGAATACTGCATGTTGTGTCCTTTAAAAGCCAGGACAGTGCCCAGGGTGTGCCTGACCGCGGCCCCAGGGCCCCTCCCAGTCCCTCTGGCCAGTCTGTTACCGTCTCGGGGCTCAGGCTCCGTGCCCCGGAACCGGCCCGCGGCGCGGGCGTCCACCACCTGGAAGCGCCGGGACTCGATGTTCTCCTTGACGTCCTCGTACGTCTTGACAAAGGCGGGGTCCAGCGTGGCTCGGAACTGGGTGGGCACTGCGCGGCTCTTGCCAGAGCTCAGCGGGAGGCCCTGGCGCAGCCAGTTGCGGAAGCCGCCGTCGAGCAAGGACACTGTGTGGTGGCCGAAGGCGCGGAACATCCACCAGACGCGTGGCGCAGCGTAGAGGCCCTGGTCGCTGGCGTCGTAAACCACAACGTGGGTGGTGGCGCCCACGCCCAGGTTGCCTACGTACTCCGCGAAGTGCGCCGCGCTGGGCAGCATGTGGTCGTAGGGCGACGTGCGGTCGCTGCACTGGTCGATGTCGAAAAAGGAGGCGCCCGGGATGTGCTGCTCCTCGAACTCTTGGCGCGCATCACGGCCCAGCTTGGGCAGATACCAGGAGGCGTCCAGCAGCTGGAGGGGCTGCCCGGCGCGCGGGGCCCGCAGTGCCTCCGCCACCCACTGCGCGGACACGAGCGCGCGGAAGAGCTGCTGCGCGGGCATGGCGGAGGCGGCAGCGACACTGGGGCGGCAGGCCTAGGAGACAGGGAAGGTGTCAGGAGGGAATCTAGGAAGAGGCCCGCCCGCGGGCAGGAACGCCCCTTGTCCCTGAGGCTGGGGTTGGGGCAAAGCTGACGGGGGAGGTGTTTGTGTGGGGAGCGGGAGGGCAGAGTCCAGAGAGCGCAGACAATCAGAGGTGGTGAACGGAGGTGCAGACTTGGGTCACTCAGTTCTCTCTCCCCTCCCCCACCAGGATTTATACCCAGCACAGTGACCAAATGACCATGACCCCTTGAGGGGGCCAGGAGGGCCCCTCACTGCTGCTTGTGGCAGTCAGGGGGTGCGGGTTAGTAGGGGAGAAGGAAAGGGCAGGAAGGGAGAGGACCCAAGCAGTGGAAACCCCTGCTGGCACTTTAAAGCAAGCAGGGGCAAAAACCTTCTCCCTTCCCTAGAGGCACCAGGCGCACTTGCCAACCAGGGAGGGTCCCTGGTGGAACTCAATCAACAAACACCTACGTAAGCAGCCTGATAGGAAGAGTAGCTGGGATTCGCTGGGTCCCTGCTGTGTGCACCATTTAAGCCTCGCCACAACCTAGAACACAGCAGGGCCCGGAGCCGGCTCCGGAGCAGGCTCGAGTGAGCGCCTCAAGAGGTTTGGCGTTATTCTCACTGTTCCACAGAGGGGCCACGAGGCTCAAGGAAGTGCACTAACTTGACCCAGGCCATAGCTGAGACGTGGAGACATCGGACCGCACACTAGGCGGTGCGGCACCAGAATCCAGGCCTCCCCGGCAGGCCCCGACCAGGCTCCCCGGAGTCCAGCAAGGTCAGATCTTGCCCCTCGAGCCTGAGCTTTCTGCAACTTTTGCAACTTTTGCTGCAGCAGCAACAGCGACTCAGTGCCTCCCTGCCTCCCGCCCCCCCCCCCCCGTCCACTTCCCTGAGCAGGGCCATCAGCCCAGAGTGCAGCAGCCCGCCTGCCCACCGCCAAGCCAGCCCACAGCCTTCCAAAGCCAAGAAGCTCCCAACGCACTGAGTCCCTGTGCCGGCAGCCCACAAATTAGAGAAAGGCACCCCTTCTTGGAGGTGCAGGCAGAGCCTCTAGGTCAAGCCCCTCAGCTGCACAGCCCCTGGGGCAGGCCACGACCTGTGCATCCGCACTGGGATACAGAGTCCCACCATGGAGGGGAAAAAGGTGGGTCGGTAGAGAACAAGAGTTTGGAGGAGGGCCCTTTAGGCCGGGCTACACGCTAAGGGCTGAGAAGGTCACGGGCAGCCTCAGCATTTGAAGCCAGGCTTCCACGTGCAAGGCTGGACTTCTTCCCTCGCCCTAGGCCACCGATGACCAGGGCCCAGCCCCTCGCACAGTCTCCCTGCAGGCCGACTTCCAGGAACCGCCTTGCCGCCGGGGCCAGGCCGGGTGCTGGACACTGAGAAACTCCCGCCACAGGCCTGCTTGAGAAACAATATACTAAGGAAAGGCTGGGGTTCGGTGGGAGCCCAGAGGGGCCACGGGCTCGGCCTGGGGTGGGAAGGCTTCCTGGAGGAGGGGGAAACCCACACTGATTTGACCTTTCCAAGGGCCCGGGAAGCTTGGCCTCCAGGATGAGGAGGCTGCCAAGGGGGCTTTGGCTAAAGGGCCACCCCGGAATCTGTGAGTTACACCACAGCTGGGGGTGTTGAGGGGGTGCTGTGGGCCCCCTCTTGAGACCTCAGTTGTGAACCAAAGCAGCCTCTGCCCCCCACCATTCTTGGGGCTCTTTGATTTTTTTCCCCCTTAAGGATACATTTAGAGGGAAAAGAATCAGTACAGATTTCACTCAGCAGCTTAACCATTTACGTGAGGGTGGGCATACTGGGCTCCCCGGCCCTTTTCCTTCTTTGTTTTTCCTAATCCTTACTTGAGGACTTTTTTTGTTTGCTGTTTTAGAGCGAAAGGGAGAAAAACATAGAAGCAAGAGAGAGACATTGACTGATCGCCTCCTACACGCGCCGGGACCGCAGATCGGAGGTGCCGGACCGCGCCGGACCCGGGATGGAACCGCAGCCTAGGTAAGTGCCCCGACCACAAATCAAACCCACGACCTCTCAGGTACGGGACGCCACGCCAACTAACTGAGCCTCACCGGCCAGGGCCGTTCCCATTTCTTACAACGGGGCCTTTCGGCGAAGACTGAGTAATGAACGCAGAGAGCACGGTGGGGCCTGTATTGGACTGGCGTCAATAATCACTCCAGACAGCTTCATACGAATCCCATTATTCCTTCAAAGCTACTTTCACTGGTGGCACTGAGAGGACAGCTGCACACCTAGAATCGAAGAGACTGGGAGGGAGAGGGTCCGGGAGAGCCAGCAGTGTGTCACCGAGAGGCGTGGCTGGGGGTGGGGGGCGGTGGTCACGTCCCTGTGCGCTTCGCAGGCCTGGACCAGTGTGGTGGGCCGGTGCTCTGGGAGGGAAGGACTGCAGGACACACAGAACAGCCCCAGGCCCATCTCAGGTGGGTCAACAGTCCCGCTCAGGGACGGGTGAGCCCCAGGCTGCCATCCTGGTGGGCCCCGGAAGGGCAGGGTTCCGATCAGCCTTGACCTTCCCGGAAGCCCCTCTGCCCTCACCGCAAAGCACGGAGTTCAGAGGCTTCCCTGGATACATGCTTCTCAAAGTATGGCAGCTTCCCACGAGAACCGAATTACTTCAGAATAAACCAAAAAGGTAAAGGGGACGAGACAGCATCCCGGGCACACGGGACAGCGCGTGCAAAAACGGAGCAGGGCCGCTGTGTGAGTTCCAGGCACTGGTTGTTACACACAGCCCTTGTGGAAAATTAGAGTATGTCAACTTACAGTTAAATGAAAAAACAAAGGCAATCCTTTTTAAAGGTACAAGGCCTCAAGACTGGCAAGGTAAACAGGCAGCTGGTGTCCAGTGGGCTTCAGAGCTGACCTCAAAAACACGGGGTGCCCCCGGGGCAAACAGCCCCACTTCTCTCTCTGGTCTCGGTCTTGAAATAAGCTGCTGGCCTTCGCAGCAGGTGGTTGTGGGAACTAAGCAGCAGCGCTGGGAGAAAAGTGCCTCACCACGCAGGCGCTGACACAAGTTAGTAGTTCATTTCACTCCAGCAAGTTCTCCTCCTGGCACCTCTGGGTCAGCTGGACTCTCCCTAGCCTATTAGGCTTTATTAGTCCCTCCTCCCTCCCCCGAGTCGTTTCTGGTGGCACCAGGTGTCCCCCTCCCCCACCTACGGCTCCCCACTCGCCACTCACTCCAACTCCACCCTGCAGGGCGTCCCGAGCTGCTGCAGACGGCCAGGCTTAGGGCAAACCCAAGGGCGCGCCTTCCGTCCAAGACTGCAGCCCCTTCCTCCCCTCCGGCCCTGCAGGGAGCTCCGTGCCGCGCACCCCAACGATCGGGCCTCCCCCTAAAGCAATCCAGCGGGATGCCTGAGCAGTTACCCCGGTTTCGGGCTCTCGGACTCCGGGCTCTGCCATAGGACCGGCCACAAGGTCCCCCCTCCCTGCACCCGCAGGTCCCCTCCTCTCGCCACCAACCTGCGGCCAAAGGGAGGAGACTCGGACACAGCCCCTTGCTACGGCCACTCAGAGCCTCTGTTGCTCGCGCCTTCCATTGGCCGGGTCTGGGGGGCGCCTGCGCCGCTGAGTTTCACTCCGCGCTGCTCCAGTGCCACCCGACGCCCCCACGCGGGTCTCTGGGGGTTTAAGAGATGCAATGTGCAGTGTGGCGGTCCCGGACGGATGCGGCGGGACGGCGGGCAGAGCAGGGCCGACGCGAGTGGCTCGCGTTCCCCCCCGTAGGCGGCGGTGCGATGGTTCAGGCTGGCTGGGGAGTATTGGCCTTGGGTTTTGAATCACTGACTTCTCCAGCCAGCAGGGGAGCCGGGGCTGCGGCGAGGGCCAGTAAGTGCAGCGGGGTGGAGGCGGCAGCCAGCGCCGGGACAGCTCGGGATTGTGCCACCGGTCGGGCCACCTGCAGGGACCCCGTGGGGAGGGCGTGTGCGACGCCTCAGGAACCCTTGACCCAGCTGGGCCAGAGGGCACCGGACTGGGGCTAGACTGGGGAATATTGGGGGTTGGCGAGCCCCAGCTGCCAAGAAACTGCAGGAAAGTTTGCGAAATTAGAGGCGCGAGGGCAGGGGTGGCGGGGGTGGGGTGGGGGGTGTGGGGCGGGGTGTGGGACCTCAGCGAACCCTCTCCCACGCGCTCACTCTCCTACCCTCCCAAGAAAGAGGGCTCTAAGCCCAAGATGCAGTCTACCCCCATCCTGGGCATCTTTTCTGGCAGGGTTCCTGGGGCAAGGATTGCGGCTTCTAGGGCTAGCTCCCTCCCTGTAGCCCTCAGAAGCTCTGACACCCTCTTTTGTGAGGCGGACCCAGGGAAAGGCGGAGAAGTTTTCCTTAAGGAATCCGCGCTCCACGCTGCACACCACTGGGTTGCTGTGATCGTGCCCTCCTGGTGGGTTGGGTGGGGAAAAGAGCTCCGCCCAGGTCCCACCACGCTGAACACGCAGTCCCCATACTCATACTCGTCTCTTTCCCGGTTCTCACCCGCGCCAGGGTGAAGCGCAGAGCTGAAACCATGGTTCAACAGGTGCTCTACCGGGCGCTGGTCTCCACCAAGTGGCTGGCAGAGTCGGTCCGGGCTGGGCAGCTGGGTCCCGGCCTGCGGGTACTGGACGGATCCTGGTATCCACCGGGCACCCGGGATGCGCGCAAGGAGTACCTGGAGCGCCACGTGCCTGGCGCCTCCTTCTTTGATATCGAGGAGTGCAAGGACAAGTCCTCGCCCTACGAGGTGATGCTGCCCAGCGAGGCGGGCTTCGCAGACTACGTGGGCCGCCTGGGCATCAGCAACAGCACCCACGTGGTGGTGTACGACGGCGACGACCTGGGCAGCTTCTACGCGCCTCGGGTCTGGTGGATGTTCCGCGTGTTCGGCCACCGCATGGTGTCGGTGCTCAATGGCGGCTTCCGGAACTGGCTGAAGGAGGGCCACCCCGTGACGTCCGAGCCCTCTCGGCCAGAGCCGGCAGTCTTCAAAGCCGCACTTAACCGCTCTCTGCTCAAGACCTATGAGCAGGTGCTGGAGAACCTTCAGTCTAAGAGGTTCCAGCTGGTGGATTCACGGTCCCAAGGGCGGTACCTGGGCACCGAGCCTGAGCCAGATGCCATAGGTAGGTGTTCCAGTGGGTGGGGTGCTCCCTGGTGGGGAATGCCCAGCAGAAAGATGGGGAGTAAGGCTGTCTTCAGGTTTCGCCCTCAGGACCCCTACGTGGGCCTCAGTTTTTCCATCTGTAAAATGAGAGGATAGAGCCAAGCCTAAAGGCTTTTCAGCTCTGGTGCAGGAGGACCTCCATCTGTGGTCCCGTAGTCGTCAGCTGACTGGCGACCTAGCATCCGCCTGGGGTGGTGTCATACCTGAGGTGACCGTTGACCCCACACGCCCAGAGGTGTGTCTCTGAGGCGACCCATGAGTCACTCCCTGCACAGAAGCATCTCAGGGACACCTAGCTTCTGGGCCTCTCTGTTCCCTAGAAACCCTTACAGACCTCAGCATGCCCCGCCCGAGCTCTCCCCGGTCCCCTGACCTTCCCAAACAGCCGCAGCCTGTCTGCGGAGCTGCAGTGGCTCCTGCGCTCTGGTGCTGAGCACTCGATGTTGCATCGTCTCATCCAGGAAACTTAGTATCCCCGTGTTAGAGGGGAGGACGCTGAGGTGCCAGGGTGCTAGGAACTTCGCTCGTTGAGCGGCAGAGTCGAGAGGTGAACCCATGCTGCTCGGCGTCCACCCGGTGATATGAGCCAGGACGCATGGCTGGGTTGCCCACCCCCACTCTGCAGGGCCAGGAGGAAGCTCCCTGCCCCCACCCCGGCATCCTCAGGGAGATGGCACGTGGCTTGTCCCTCTCCTGCGGAGGGTTCTCCGCTGCTGGGTGTGGGCATAGTCTCAGGAGAGGACGTGCAGAGACCTAGAACCTTCTCCCAGACCTCGGGGGTCTTGTCACCGCTCCTGCCAGGTGGGGCACCTCAGCGCCCTTGGGGCTGCTCGTGGGCCAGGCCGGCCTGTCCCCAGTCAGGGCGTCTCTGCGGAGTCTCACTCCCGTGCAACATTTTGCCTCACTTGTTGAAAAATATCTCTTCCTGTTTGTGTCTCTGAGGAAGAGGACTGTCAAAGCCGTTCTCAACACTGAGCTGGAGGCCCTGAGAGGTCACCTCATGGGACAAAAGGGACGCTGAAGCGCACAGAGGAAGGGGGGGGTCGGGGCCACAAGGCTGGTTAGTGGGTGAGGCAGGAGGATGCAGGGCTCTGCTGTTCCCACTGTGGGTTTTTCCCAGGCTGTATCCCCCTCCCCCCGCACCCCCACCCCCCCACCCCAGCCCGGCTGGCTCTCTGAAGGTCCCGAGCTGAAGAGTCAAGTTTGTTTGGCATCCTCCAGGGCCTCCTGGCTCGGAGCTCCTGCAGCCCCTGCTGGTCTTGGTTCCAGACTCCTCTCTCCTTAGGACTTAAGCTGCGCTGGCGGAGGAATGTGGAACTGTTCCCCTCGTTGCTGTCCAGCGTGTCCCGGCGCACCCGAGAATAAGTGCAAGGAGACTTCGGAGACCCCAGACCCAGTCTCCTCACTCCCATTTGATTTGACTTGATTTTGATTTCTTAAAGATTTTATTTATTTTTAGAGAGGAGGGAAGGGAGGGAGAAGGAAAGGGAGAGGGAGAGAAACATCACACGCACCAGTTGGGGACCTGGCCTGCAACCCAGGCATGTGCCTTGACTGGGAATCGAACTGGTGACCCTTTGATTCACAGGATGGTCCTCAGTTCGCTGAGCCACACCAGCTAGGGCTCCTCGCTCCCATTTTAGAGATGCAGAGCCTGAGGCTCAGAGAGGGGAAGCAGGCAATGGCTCCTGGAGGCCTGGCAATTTCAAGCACCCCCACCCGCCTCCATCCTGCGACCCTACTCCCACCCCCCTCCCCCAGTTCCCCTCTGAAGCCCTGGGAGCATGGATCCTACTTGAGGTCAGCCTCTCCTGTGTGGTAGGACCTCAATCCAATGGCTCAGCCTCTCTGGGTTCCTTCATTATAAAACTAGAAGAGTAATGTCAGCCCTACCCACCAGGGGGCGTATTCATTCAAATGCAGCAGTGGCTGGAGGGTGTTTTGAGAACGGCAAGAAACTGGGCAAAGGCCAGGGCCGTCTAGGAAGACATGGAGGATGTGGCACGTCCTCGTTTTCTAAGAGGCTTTTGCTGGCCTTCCATGCAAGACATTCTGGGGACACAAAGACACACGAGGCTCTGCTGAACTCCTGGTCGCCAACCTGGAGTGAGATCAGGGAGGCAGCCCGTGGGTTGGGCTGGTGTGGCGCTTACAGTGGCCCTGAGCAAGTCCCCTTCACCCCCGAATCCTTACAGGGGCTGGGGGAAGGGAGGAAACAGAGGTGGGGATTGATCCAGCATCTGTATAAACCTCTTCTCTCTGCACCCCTGTGGCCCGTCGGGGGAGGGGGGAGGCTGTAGAGGGAGGATATTGATCCCCAACGAATGTTCGATTTGCAGAACCCTTTCAATATTCTGGACGCTGACAGCAGCCCTGCACGGGGAGGCAGGTGGGGTTGAGAGTGGGTCCCACTTTGCAGGTGGGGAAAGGGGCAGGACTTCCCTAGTGAGGCAGAGTGGCTGGGACTTGACCCCAGTCGGCAGGCGTCAAAGTGGGGCTGTTTCCCAAGGCTGCTGCGTTTGAGCAAACATGGCGCCTGAGGGGAAGGGCCCGGCTCTGTGGGGTCGCTCTGGGGTCATGGGGCCCCTGTGCCTCTCCCTTGAAAGGCCTGGGGGCTGGGGTCCTAGGGTGTTGGGAGGGTGCCAAGATGCCTCCCAGTGGCCAGGGTTGGGGGCTAACCACTGGGGCCACGGGCACTGAATTCTCTAGTGTGTTGGGGAAGAAAGAGCCAAACAGGTTTTCCTGGCTTTGAAGAGCCACACCTGTGAGTAGCCTCGCAGGCTGGACTGGCATCTCCTTGGCCAAAGCTGCAACACAAAGCCCCAGACGTCTGAGCAGATAAGGAGAACCAGTGGTTGTCTCCTCCGCTCCCCGCCTCGGCCCCCTTGTCCAGGGAGAGGCTCAGGGTGGTAAACACCGCAGGCTCTGGGGCCAGGCAGAGCTCACTGCACTTCACACACCTGTGCTGTGTGTCCCGGGGTACACGTCCTCCCCTCTCTGCATCTGGGTTCCTTAACTTTAGGGCCGGTTCTTGAGGCAACCCCTTGCCTTGGGGCCTGATGCCAGAGATTATTATGAGCATAATGGTGTGCTTGCTGAGGAGGAGGGGGCAGGAGCCGAGCCTGCAGCTGGCGCTGGAGTCTGCGAGGGTGCGGAGGAGCCTCCTGGCTCCAGCTGGCTGTTCTCCAGCGCACTTGGGCCAGTTTCATCCCCCCTGCACCCTCCCCTACCCAGGCAGGCAGTGCCTGCTCCTTTAAATGCCTCAGCCAGGCCCGAGCCCTGACAGCAAAGATGACCGGAGCAGGGCTGGCCGGAGGTGGGGGAGGCTGGGGAGCTGCAGAAACCCCCTGACTGCTTCACTCCGAAGAGGTGCCTTTCCTGCAATCAGAGGAAAACAATGCAGCCGTTTCACTGGGGATGGGGGAAGGAAAAGCGACATCCATTACTCAACACACGCGTGTGCTTTGACACGCACCACGTCCAGCCCAGCGTGTGGACGGGAACGGTTTGCCTTCGGGTTTCTAGGCTGAGAACACCCTCAGAGCCAACAGAGGAACGAACGGCTCCTCACTGGTAGTGTCAGCACATGCTGAATCTAGATTACAGTTTCCAGGCAAAAAGGTGCAATCGCACAGAAAGAAGTGGCTATAATTTTATAAGTTGGACATCTCTTCAGTCAAAGAACTCTTGGGTCAGGCCAGCACATTCCAGAACCCTTTCTGACCCTGGGTGAGAGGAATGGGGTGTCCCTCCTATGGGCCCGGGGCCATCAGGGGCTTTTGCTGGCAGCAGCTAACTCCCCCCTCGAGCCTGCGAGGGAGGCGGCTTATCTCCCCGCTGCACAGTGGGGGGCCTGCCTGGCTGCATGCCACCCCAGGGTGCCCTGGTGGCTCTGGTCAGGTCCTCTCCTGATGCAGACCCTGGCTCATGGGGTCCGCCACACTGTGGGTGGGGGAGAAACATTCACACGGACTCCAGAGTCCAGTGGAGGGAAAGGGCGAGCATGGCTCTTCTCTCCAGGGGAGCAAAAGCCTTGGCCCTTGCCGTGACCGGCCTTTATTTCTATTCTCGGCACATTGCATGATGGTCCTCATTAACTATGCACAGGTTGGCTTTCAGTGGTTCAAAACAAAGGAGTCAGTGCTGCTAATCACATCACAGAAGAAGGATATTTGCAAATGCAAAGGAAAAAGTAGTCGAACTGGTTACACGCATCCTTAGAAGGTTTAGCATGGATTTTAGGAAGTTGCAGTGAGCGCTTGCTGTCTCAATTCAGGGTGAGGGAGTTTTTGCAAAAGCAGGTCTCAAAGCAGCCTAGGTACAATGCGGGCCTGATTCCCCATGGGAGAACCTATCCATGGGCAGTGGACTTTGCTTTCCACTGGGAGCTGGGCCCACACCACGCAGAATGGTCTCCTGCATTCCCCCACTGCCGCCCGCCCTGTCCTGTTTCTACTGTAGGAGCTGGAAGAGATGCTCCAGCGTGTCGCAGGCCCCACTCGCGGTGCCCCGTCTGCCAGGGTCTGGGGTGCGTGAGGAAGGGGGGAGTGACCTGGGCGTGCTGGGGGCCAGACCAGGGCGTCGGCCCTGTGGGGGCACCAGCCCTGGCTGTGGCCCCAGCCTGCATTGCCTAGCTTGCTGGCTTTTCTAAGGCCAGGTTTGGCAGACTCACTGGGTACAGAGGTGGTTCTGGAATGGGCCCCAAAGGCAGCCTAGACCCCCATCCTGCTTCCATCCATGCCTCTCAGTGTTGCTAGGAGAAGCCCGAAGAGACAGAGGGACCACACGGCTCCCAGTGTCACCCGCCCCCCTGCGGTGGGTGGTGAAGCCATGGGAGTGACAGCATCTGCGGGCGGCGGGCCGGCCTCCGTAGTCGGTGCCTCACTCCTCTCGGCAGCCCTGACGCACGTGGCCACCCTCACTCCCACTCACCGCGGGCAGGCTGAGGCTCAGGGAGGCGATGTGGCTTGCTTAAGGTTGCCCTGCTGGCAAGTGGCAGAGCTGGGATTTGAACTTCTGTCTAGCACGAGGCCATATGCTCCTTCCATGGCTGTGTGCTTACCAGGAAACCCCGGTGACTTCATGTGATCCCGGGCCTGTCTTGACCTCTCCGTGTGTGGCCGTAGGAAAGCTGTTTTATTTTGTCGGCCTCAGGGTATCCATCTGTAAAATGGAGTCCCGTTAATATTAATGAATTGCGTGAGTGTCTGTTTAACATCCGTCTTCCTGGCTGGACCGTCCTTGCGGAGAGCGGCTGGGGCCCTCCGTGCCACCTCTGTGTTCTCAGCAATCGACACAGCACGTAGCGTTCACATTAATCCTGTCATTTGCTCTTCTCAGCAACCCTATTCTCATAGGGGCCTGCACCACTGAGCCCATTTTACAGATGAGAAAAACCGAGGCCCAGAGAAGCGATGTGATTTGCCCAAGGTAAAGGTTAGTAAATGGTAGGGCTGAGACGCGAACCCCCGTCCTCTCAGGTGGGTGTGCTTTTGGATATTACCCTGTCAAGGCAGGTCTGGGAGGGGAGGGCCCTTGTCTCAAGTCATGAGCATTGAATGTAGCAGGACCGGGAATGAGTCGAGCTCCAAGAAGGGCGGAGACATTATTTTTATTTGTGCAGCTCCCTGTCCTGATGGCCTCGGCTGGTTGCGGCCCCACTTGCTCTCCCCACCCCCACTCCTTCCTAACTAACCCTGCTCTCCCCTCTGTCCTCTGCCCCTGCCCAGGACTGGATCCGGGCCACATCCGAGGTTCACTCAACATGCCGTTCATGGACTTCCTAACCGAGGATGGCTTCGAGAAGAGCCCAGAAATGCTCCGAGCTATGTTCGAGGCCAAGAAGGTTGACCTCTCAAAGCCCCTCATTGCCACGTGCCGGAAGGGCGTCACCGCCTGCCACATAGCCCTGGCCGCCTACCTCTGCGGCAAGCCCGACGTGGCCATCTACGACGGCTCCTGGTTCGAGTGGTTCCACCGGGCACCCCCCGATACCATTGTGACCCAGTGGAAGGGCGAGAAAGCCTGAGCACTGTACCTCCCCTCTGCCGGCCCGTAGCCCAGCCAGTCTGGTGACTGGCGTGACCTGGGGCTGGTGCGTACCCCTTTAGCCAGGGAGACTAACAAGGTTTAGAGTCTCGGGGTAAAGCTCTCCTCCCCCCACCAACACTGGAATAAACGTGGCTTTCTCCGAGTCGCCGTGTCTGCCTGCCTCTCCCTGGCGTCCGTCCCAGCCCCGTCCTTGCCCTGTGCCCCTCATGTTTGCATCTCCTGTGGCCCCCTTAGAGCCCACCGAGGAAAGAGACCTCCAGAGCAACCGCCAGCTGGGGAAGCCACTTGATGATTTAGTGTTGGCCGAGGGAGCTGCCTGTGGTCCCACGTCGGGCTGAGCCTGCTGAGACCTAGCTGGACAGGGGGAACCACAGCTGGCCGGGCACCGACACCAGCCCTCTGGGGGTGTGTATTGGGGGGGGGGCAGTTGGGGGACAGGCAGCCTTCCCAGTGACTGGTCAGAGCCATGTCACACAACGTGCCCTGGGGCCTCAGGAGAGGTGATGCTCAGAAATGGGCCAAAGGAAGGAGGCCTCCGCTTCAGCAGACCTTCCTGGCTTGGAATAAGCCCCTCAGGGAGCTGCCGGGGGAGGGACCGGAGAGGCAGCTTCGGTCGCTGGGTCAGTCTCAGAGCCTGCAGTGTGACCCAGGGAGCCGCGGGAGAAGAAGGTCACCTGGCGCACTGGCCCCAAGGGCCTGGGTTTCGTTGTCCAGAAATGGGCTCCCTACACCCTCCTCTGGGGCTGTTAGATGGTTGCAGGCCCCCCACCTTCTGGGGGTTCCCCGCTGCCCACGGTGCAGTTTTGAAAAAGGTGCATTGGGGGTGAGACACCCAAGCAGCATCACGTTGCTACAGATTCTCCACGAGAGGAAGAGCCCATTGCTATGGCAGACTTCATTGCTATCTTATACCAAGAAATTGCCCTGGCCTGGTGTAGCTCAGTGGATTGAGCGTGGGCTGCAAACCAAAGTGTCGCAGGTTCAATTCCCAGTCAGGGTACATGCCTGGGTTGCAGGTTATGGCCCCCAGCAACCGCACATTGATGTTTTTCTCTCTCTCTCTCCCTTCCCTCTCTAAAAATAAATAAATAAAATTATTAAAAAAAAAGAAATTGCCACAAAAAGAAACTTGCCACAGCCACCCCAACCTTCACTGGCCAGCACCCTGGTCGATCAGTGGCCATCCACATCGGGGCGGGACCCTCCACCAGCAAACAGGCGACTGGCTAAAGGCTCAGCTGTTGGTCAGCATTTTTCAGCATTAAAGCATTTTCAATTAAGGGGTGTACATTGCTTTTTAGACACAATGCTATTGAGTGCCTAATAGACCGGAGTGCAGACACAGCTTTTGTATGCACTGGGAAACCAGGGAATTTGTGTGACTTGCTCTGTTGGGGTTCTTGGCCGTGGTGGTCTGGAGCCACGCCTGCGGTGCCTCTGAGGTCTGCCTGCACTGTTACGCGCCTGTAGGTGATTAATACAGGGGACAGCAGTGCAAACGGGAAACCAGTGAGGAGGCCAGTGTGTCAGTCCAGGCCAGAGGCGGTGGTGGCTTGGACCAGGGTCAGGCGAAGATGAGGAGGTGGCTGAGTGGCCCGCCGAGACTGGCGTGCTTCCAAAGACTCGCCAACGGGTCGCTCGTGGGGTCAGCGCAGAGTCAGAGGCGGCGCCCCCCTGTGCCAGGCAATGTTCCAGCCATTTCCCCAAAACCACTTCCTCCTGCTCTCACTCTCAGCCTCTAGGGTGGGTTACATGCGTCCCCACGTGAGGACAAAGTCGCCCTTCTCACCAGTAGCAGCCCAGGCTCTGGGAGCCCCAAGTCTAACCACGATGCTCTCACCCTGGGGAGACCCTGAAAGGCAGGGCATGCGGGAGGTATTCCCAGTACGCCCCTCCTTCTGCAGGCCGAGCTGCTGGCGCCAGCTGCGGAAGTCACTCACCCTCGCATCACTCCTGTAGCCCTTACATTACAGGAGGAGGAGAGTAGCCCCTCGCTGTCCCACCTGCCCTCATCTTTCTCCTTAGTTCTGGGCCCTTCACGTCCAGCTCAGACAGCTCAGGTGCATCTGTCCCTCTTCCCCCACCCCCTCGACCTGCGCCGGTGCTCATAAACACATCCACGCTTTTAATATGTGGGTCCCTTTGAAACTGTTGAACTCCTACACATCCTTCAAAATCCAGCTCAGATGATGCTGTCTTCTTTTCCCTCCACAGGACTAATCACTCTCTCTGTTTAAGCCTTTGTAATACCAACACCTTCCTTCCCACTTGATGGCGTCTGAGCCCTCTGTGCCTGGGACACAGCCTGGCACATGGGGGGAGCTCGGGATGCTTCGCCCTTTAGTACTGGCTTTCATGGCCTCTGTTTCCTTAGGGGCTGGCCTATCAGCCCTCTGAGGTAACAGAGCCTTGTGTATGGTGGTCGCCATGGAGACTCCAATGAACAGCAGGGGAGGGCGGCTCCCTAGCAACCAGCCATTGGTCTTCACCAGCAGTTGTGCAGAGCTGCACTCCTGGGCTTCAGCACTCGCCAGAGCGGTTCACGTGGTTTCCGATGTTATGAAAAAGAGTGGAGAGGTCAGGCAGACACCGGCAGGGTGGCCAGGGGCCCACTGTGACGCAGGTTTCAGCTTCCTTCTCCCCATTCAGAGTTGCTTGTGAGCGGAGAGTGCCCAGCCTGCAGCCAGACCCTGCCCCCCCTTCTTCACCAGCATCGCTGGGGACCTTCTCTCCAGGTCAGAAACTGCGGTGGGTCCACCCATCTGTGGACTGGGGGTGCCATTTGGGCAGATGGGAAGCTGCTGCGGGCCCTTCGGGGTGGCTGGGGGTGGGGAGGGGACAGGAGCAGAAAGCTCAGCACCTGGATGAGGCCCCGTGTCTCCCCTGTGCCCCCGTCTTGGAAGGAAGGTGAGTTATCGCTTTCTCTGAACACCGCACTGAGTCCTTGGGAAGACGCACTGGTCTACCAGACTAAACGAATCATGCCAACACTCAGTGGCTTTAGACGACAATATCATCTCACCGTGTCTCTGGGTCAGGAATAAGGATGCAGCCCCAGGGGGTCCTCGGTCTTAGGTTCTCTCACAGCCTGTGATGAAGCTCTCAGTGGGGGTTCAGGCTCATCTTGGGGCTCTACTAGAGAAGGACCCCCGGGAGGCAGGCATGCTGGACCCAGAGCCTCAGCTCCTCACGAGCTGGTGGCCAGAGGCCACCCTTAGTCCCTGGTCCACCGGCCTCTCTGGAAGGCAGCTCACCACGTGTAAGCTGCTGTCGTCGTCAGTGTGACTGAGTCCCGAGGAGCCAGAGGGTGCGAAGGAGACGGGGCCGTCCTTTGTGATCCCATCTGGGAGGCGGCGTCCCGTCACCGTTGTCGTGTCCCATCTGTTGGGAGCGAGCCAATAAGTCTGGCCCAAGTGGGTGGATATCGAGGAACAGGGGACGCTGGAGCCATGTCAACTGCCCCTCTCGCCCCCCTGATGACACATGTCCCTCCCACATGCAAATTACACCTATGCCCTCCCCAAATCTCCCAACGTCTGATCTCACAGCAGCATCTCCCTAAAACCTGGAATCTGGCCCTACAAATCAGGCCCAGGTGTGGATGAGGCTCCGTGAGTGTCTTTTCTTTTCTTTTCTTTTTTCTTTTCTTTCCTTTCCTTTTCTTTCTTTTCTCTCTTCTCTTCTCTTTCTTTTCTTTTTTGAGATTGTATTTCTTTATTGTTGGTGAACGGGGAAGGGAAGAAGAAAGACAGGGAGAGCAACAGTCGGTGATTGATTGCCTCTTGCACACACGCCCCAACTGGGAACCGGCCTGCAACCCAGGCGTGTGTCCTGACCAAGGATTCGAACCGGCGACCTTTCCCTTTGGAGGATGATTGATGCCCAACATACTGAGCGACACTGGTCAGGGCTACCACCTCCCGAGGTCAGCCCTCCATCAGTAGAGCCGTGAAGCCAGGCCATCTGCCCTGAAGATGCCTGGCACCCACTGGGGTGGCAGGCACGGGGCGAGGGCCGCAGGCTTTTGTACTCAGATGAGGGAAACGGAAACGCGGAGTCACTGGCCCACGGCGTTTCTGAAATCCAGCCAGGCAGATGCTGTCCTCAACAGGCTTCAGGGGGGTAGAAGGAATTTTCCGTGGCTCTCAGCTGCGCCTTCCGGACATTTGCATCTTCTCTCTGAGTTGCCCTTTAAAAATTTTTTTTTCTTTTTAGAGAGGGAAGGGAGGGAGAAAGAGAGACAGAAACATCAATAAGCGGTTGCTGGGGGCCGTGGCCTACAACCCAGGCACGTGCCCTGGGTGGGAATCGAACCTGCGACACTTTGGTTCGCACCCCGTGCCCAATCCACTGAGCTACGCCAGCCAGGGCCTTGAGTTGCCCTTTTTCTCAGACTGTTTTCTGTTCGTAGAAGCTGGAGGCCCGCTGGTCTCCACGCTGCACTGTTTCTGTCCCTCACACTCCGAGTTGGCAGTACTGTTGCCGACAGTTTTCTCAAAAACCGTGACACTGCCCCAGGCGAAGTTCTTCCGCCGCCCCTGCTGGAAGGCAGCACCCCACGCTCCCCAGAGGCCCTGTTTGTCCACTGAGAGGATCCGTAGTTTTCATCTCTTTTAAGGGTCCTATGTGCCGCTGAGCGAGACGCTGATTCTGTCATCTCTCTGAAGTTTTAACGAGAGCTTGCACAGTCACTCCGTGTCCCTGACAGCGCCCTGAAGCCTTTTCTCAATTTGAGCGTCTTTTGGCACCCGGAGAGGATGAGAATTCCCAAACTACTGAGTCTGCCCTCCGTTTTCCGTAGCAGCCCTTCCACCCGCGGCTCTTGCCCCCGCGTGTTCCGCGGCGAGCAGCAGGGGGAAACCGGGAGGCGTCTGCGGGGCTCTGTCTGGGAGTCCCCCTGGATAGATGGCCCGGTCCATTCTTCCCGTGCTCTGCCTCCCACGCGACTGCCGATGGGCGTCACCCGGTTTCTGTCCCTGTGCAACAAGGACACTTCTTCAGGTTCTAATAACATGTCCCTCTCTTTTTTTTGCACTGTCAGTAGCAACTGCCTCCCACGCGACTGCCGATGGGTGTCACCCGGTTTCTGTCCCTGTGCAACAAGGACCCTTCTTCAGGTTCTAATAACATGTCCCTCTCTTTTTTTTGCACTGTCAGTAGCAACAGCCTCCAAGCCCACATTTCTACTTGTAGTCTGTTTGAGGCAGTTTAGGCTTTTCCTGTCTTGTTCCTCAAAATCCTTCCGGGCTCCACCCACTGCTTGGTGCCAAAGCCACGCCCACATTTTTAGGGTTTTGTTGCAGCAGCACCCCATCCTTGGTACCAAAATATGTGTTAATTAGCTATTGTTGCATAACGCATTACCACAAAGCCCAGCAGCACGAAACCGCATGCTTATAAAAAGGACAAGTTCATTGTCTCAGTTTCTAAGGGTCAGGACCCCGGGTGTGGCTTGGCTGTGTCCTCTGGCCCGGGGCTTCCCTCGGGTTGTGGTTAATGTGCCAGCTGGGCTGTGGTGTCATATCGAGGCTCAACTGGGGAAGGCTGGTTCAGGTGCTCGCAGTTCTTTATCTCCTCCTGTTGGACTAAGGGTCTCCAGCAGCAAAGCCTCTTGGCCAGAGGCCCGCTCTGTTCCTTACCCCAGGAGCCTCGGACAGAGCAGCTCAAAACGTGCCAGCTGCTGCCACCAGCACGAGCCAGCCAGCTGGCTGGCTCAGAGAAAAGAAGAGCCAGACAAAGAGTGTGAACAGTCACTGATCTAACGGGGCGGTGACATCCTTGCACTTTTGTCATATTCTTTTGATCTGAAGCAAGTTGCTAAGTCCAGTCCGCATTCAAGGGGGACATCTTGCCCAGTGTATGACTGCCAGGGGCGTAGGGAACATTGGCGGTCATATCAGAAGTGACACAGTCATCAAACAATTAATACGTTGCTTTGCCTGATGATTTTTCAAGATGACAAAATTAATTCCGTTCTTCAACTGCTTCAAGCTTACCAGCAGAACAACTTGCTGGGTGACCTAAGACAAGTCACTCTCCTTCTCTGGGCCTCAGCACACATTTCAGAGAGAGAGAGGAAGGGACAGGGAGGGAGAGAGAGACAGAGAGGAAGAGAGATGTGAGAGAGAAACAGCGATTGGTTGCCTCCCAAATGTGCTCTGATCGAGGATTGACCCCTTAACCAAGTTATGTGTCCTGACCAGGAATCGAACCTGCAACCTCAAAGGCCTTTGAGGCACTCCCTCACTGGTGGTGGGAGCAACCAGGGCTTTCCAGAAAGGGCAGAGCCTGCGGGGCTGCAGGAGGCACAGTGCCAGGGGCGACAGGTGGGTGGGGTAGGGGGCTCCTTGAGGGCCAGAGAGCATTGAGGGGAAAAGTGCAGAGGGACCTGGGTCAGGGGCTGGGCAGACGGCCCCAGGCCTCCCGGTTGGGCTCCCAGCTTGTCCCCATTCATGAAGCCGCTGTGACACCTGAGACGACAGTTTGTTTCTTTGTTGACAGGGCTAAGCTTGGAAAGAGAGTCCATGGAGCTGGGCCGCCAACCAGGTAGGATGACCGAACAGGGACGCACTGATGGGGACACTCAGTGCACGCCCAGGGCTCTGGGAGGGGACTCCCTGGGGGCATCAGGAACAACCGCTCCCCCTCCCCTTCAGTCTTGCTCTGGCTTCCGGGCCCTCTGAGCGGCCCTAACTCCCTGGGGCTCTCTGTGTGAACACTGAAGGAAAAGGGAGGGAGAGGAGTACCTCTGCGTCTCTCCCAGCTGCCAGGCCTGGGGATTGTGACCCCATCACAGTGGTCCCCTCCCCGGGGCTCAGCGGGGGAGACAGCAGCCCCTGGGGGCACCATGGTGACATAAGGCACATCAAAGCCGCAGGGGATTGCAGTGAAGGTTCATCTGAGCCAAACTGACAACACAGGCCTGGGAGCCAGATCTCAAACGCTCTGGAGAGAAATAGTTCTGCTGTTTCTTTTCAGCATTTGAGGTTAAGGAGGGAACGGGAAGGAGGCTGCGCGGAGGTGGGTGGAGGCAAGGCCCGACTGCTGGAGTGCAGGACAGTCAGGGTCCCTCGCTCTCTGGAGTGGCGGGGGGCGTCGCTTCGAGGAGCAGCGTCTGACAGGGTGGCCACCCTCAGGAGGAGGGGTCTGAAAAGAGGCCGTTGGAAAGTGAGCTAACCTAGAAACAGAATCGATGGCAGGGCTTGCCCGAGGCTGAGGTAAGTGGTCAGTGGAGAGGCTAGGTGCCTGCCTGGTGACCACCCACCAGGACCTGCCCAGTTAGGAATCTGTGATCAGCTCCTCCTACGGCGTTCCTTTCCGCAGAACCCCGTTTTTTCACCCAGGACTGACTGGTCGGGCTGGCAGGCAGGCGGTGGGGTGACACAGCGGGGTGGGGAGGGCAGGAGGCGTGGTCTCCGTGCAGGGGGGGAGGTGCGGGACGTCGGAGCAGCCAAGCCCCGGGGTGCTGTGGCGCCAGGAGGGCAGAGTGTCCTAAGCCCCAGAACAGTGTGGGGGCGGGTCCGGAGGGGAGAGCAGGCTGGACGTGGACTGAACTTCAATGCGGCTGGAAGGCTGCAGGGAAGTGGGAGAGAGGCCAGGCGGCCCCGGGCCAGGTCCCTGGAGGTGGAGGCTCTGTCCTGAGCACAAGGGGAGGGTTTCATTGCAGTTGTGATTAGATCAGGTCAATGCTGAGCAGGGTCCCCAACAGGGGGGAGCGGACAGGGGCTGGGGCTGGCAGGTGGGGTGTGGGAGACAGGCCAGTGAGGGTGGGGTGTGGGACTCCTGCTGGAAGCTTTCCCTGAGGACCCAAATGGCCCAGGGGCCTTGTTAGACACCCAGGTTCCCAGCCTCTCCCGTGGGGTCCCTGATGCAGCAGCTTGGGGGGAGGCCTGGCAATCTGCATTTTCACTGAGCGCCCAGGGGCATTCTGATGATTGGCCACACTTGGAAACTCTGAGGACTCATCGCCTGAGCCTCACAACAGCAAGTGAAATCGGGCTCACTCTGCCTGTTTTACAGCTGGAAGAACGGAGCGGAGGGAAGGTGGGGGTGCAGCGAGGGTCCTGGGAGGCCGGCGGTGGCCTTCACTCATTTATTCAACAGACACTGAACTCCGAGAGGACAGGGGCCGACCCGCTGAGCTCATTCACTGTGTGTCCCCACTGCCCCGCACAGCACCTACCCAGGCATGTGCGCTGAGTGGGACTTGAACCTGTGACCTCTTGGTCCGCAGGCCGGTACTCAGTCCACTGAGCCACACCAGCCAGGGCTCCACTCCTTTCGAGAAGGGTGTCCGTTCCCCTCCTGGAAGCCTTAGTTTTCCCGGGAGAGCTCTGTTGCCGGGCTGCGGGCTCATTGGGGCAGAACCCGGGACTGACTCAGCCGTGGACCCTGCCTTCCTGGCCCTGCCCCCCACGTAGGCAGGGAAGTGAGATGGGTGGTAGGTCCCGGTGATGGAGGAAGGGAAGCCCCGGGGTCGTGAGAGGTCAGTGGAGCAGGGTTGTGAGGTGAGGAGGAGGGGACTGGCCCCAAAGCTTGGGGGTGGGGGTCAAGGAGGGCTTCCTGGTGAGACTGCATGGACAGGAATGGTGGAATTTTGATTTAGGGAAAAAAAGGAGGAGGTGGCCTCCTAGGTGGCAGAACCAGCCCGGGCAAACGCTGGGAGGTGGGACGTCCCAGGTCGTGGTGGGGGTGGCAGAAGAGGATGAAGAAGAGACCCCCCGGGGCTGGGAGTCCCGGGGATGGGGGGTGTGGAGAGCAGGGGACTAGGCTGGGATGGCACCCCCCTCATTACCCCCGGGGACAGAGGAGGCAAGGGAGGCTGGGGGAGCTGCTCAGAATGGGGAGCAAAGACAGGCCCAGGCCCAGCTCTGGCCCTTTGCAGCCGTGTGACTGGGGAGCGGTGCCAGCTCCCCTGTTGTGGAAAACCTCGTGGGACGACCCTGTTCCGTGGAGGGGCTTGGCGGCTGAACTACCTTCTCCCTTTGTCTCTTTCCCAATGTCTTGCCCACGCTTCTGGCTCCCGTGACTTCTCTCTGTTCCCGTCCCTTTTCCTGCTCTGGATCTCGGGGGCCCTGTGTCTGCCTGTTCCCCCCTCCCCACCCCGTCACCCTCTCTGCTGTCTTCCTTCCCGCCTTCCACTCTCTGCACGTGTCTGCCTGTCTTCTTCCCTCCTGCCCTCTCTCTCCCCCCGGTGCAGGTATGACCACTTTGACCAGGGCCCATCTGAGCAACCAGCAGGACACGGACCCCAGGAGAACTGCTCACAGCCCCTTGGATGCCTCCAAGTACCAGGGCCAGGCCCCGGGCTCCCCACAGCACCAGCCGGGCAGCCCCCGGGGACAGGCCTGCCAGGAGGGGGCCTGGCCTCTGACCCCCTCAGCTGTCAGCAGGAGCCCCTCTGGCACGGACTCCCGGCCTGGGTCCCTGAAGAACGGGGACTGCAGACCCTCGCCGAGGGAGAGCAGGGCCGCTTCCCACGAGGGGGCTCCGATGCCGTGCCAGGGGCTGAAGCAAGGCCCCCGCTCGGGGGCCCAGGGCGAGAGGCGCAGCATCATTCCCGACAACATTCGCCACAAGTTTGGGAGCGATGTGGTGGACCAGCTGGTCTCCGAGGAGCAGGTGCTGGCATGCACAGGGCACAGGAGGCCAAGGGCGGCAGGAGGGCGGTGCACGGGGACAGGTAGTGAGCAGCCCAGGGGAGCCCGCTGCAGAGCTCAGAGCCCCCGGAACCAGCTCGCCACACGGCAGCGTTTCCTGAGCACTTGCTGTACGTGCGTGCCAGGCACCGTGTGCTGTTGAAACGCTCCACACACAGCAGCTCGCCTCCCCTGCCCAGCGAGAAAGGTGCTCTCGTACCCACCTTAAGGACAAGGAGCCCAAGGCTTCAGAAGTGTTAAGTTAATTCAGTTTACCCAGTCGTGTCGGATGAGGGCCCACGCTGGTCCTGAGGGCCAGCGGGTCCTGGCGCCCTCGCTCTTACCGACTTTGCAATGACCAGTCCTATGTTTGAATTCGATGCTTTCAACGCACGCAGGTCTAAAGGAGACAGCATCGGATAGATGGGCCGCGTTGACTGGGAATCAGCAGACTTGAGTTTGAGTCCCGGCTCTGCCCCGAGTGCTGGGTGACTTGGGATAAGTTGCTTCCCCTCTCTGGGCCTCAGTCTCTACACCTGCCAAGCGAGGCAGCCGGACTAGATCCCACCCCACCACTCTTCCGGCCGGCATCCGCGCTGGCGCCACTCGCCGAGGCCGGTGCCTTCCCCCGCCCCACACACCCCTCGAGGGAGTTATTCCCGACCAACCGGGCACTGAGATAAAGTGCACCTGCCACATCTGGCCAGATACTAAGGGCTCCTCCTGCTCTGGCCCTCGGAGACACGTTCCCAACGCCACCCTCCGGACACGCACAGCCACGACATCAGGCGGTCGGCTGGGCAGGAGTCCTAACTCCCTTTTATTTTTTATTTTTTGGTTCCCGAGGGGATGGCTGTTCTGGAAGTTCTGCAAAACCGGGTCACTGCGGGCTGTGGACAACCAAAAGCCCAGTCTATACGTTGTCCTCGGATAGGGGACGCCACACTGAGAAGAGTAGATATCTATCCTGGATCTTAGCCAGAAAGTCGAGAAGCGATTTGCTTTTTCTTTTTTTTTAACAGATGGTAAAGCGAAGGCTCAGAGCGTTCCACTGAGCAAGGGAAAGGCCCAGAATCAAAAGGCTGTGGGCCGGGTTCCCTCCCCTTTGTCTTCTTAAGGTGGGGGAGGTCACAACTCTAAATGTCCTGCCTTATCTGGCACATCTGGTCCCGGTCTGGGGTGCAGTCACCATGTCTCCTGGCCCCCCACAGCCTCCGGAAGGTCAGCCTTCTCTCTTCTGAGAGGCCCAGAAGCCCAGGAGGCCCAGGAGCAGAGACTGGCCCAGAGGCCCAGAGAGGAGCAGAGACTGGCCCAACGCCAGCGGCTGGTCTGGGGCGGAACTGGGACTCAAACCCAGGCTTCCTGGTCCCCAGGCCTGGGCGCAACCCTTCTGGGCCTGGGTTCCCACACCAGCACGCAGAAGAGGTTGGCTTCCGTGCGACCCCGGGGGCCCCCTGCAGCTGACTGGTGGGAGGCCTCCCGGAGGCCGGCCAGGCTCTGTGGGGCCCCAGCTGTGTGGATGCTGCGTCCCCACCCCCAGCCCCGGCTTCGCTCTTTTGTAAAACAGCAGGAGAAATGTCACCTTATAAAAAGAACTCTCCTGTGAGGGACCCAGCAGGGACTCGGGGCAGGAGGAGGGTTCCGGCCACCCTCCTCTCTGATGCGAGGCCCAGCGGGAGGTGGGTGGGGCGAGAGGGTGCAGGGGCCTCGGAGGTGCCGGCTCCCCAGCCCCAGGGGCCGGTTGAAGGCTGTGGGCTAAAGGTCAGGTAGGGGTGGTGAGGGCAGGGTCAGCAGAGTTTAGCCGAGAGAGGGGGCTTGACTGCTTCTCTGTCCCTTGTCCCCCCCCTCCACTCGCTCAGGCTCGAAGGGCCATCGGTGAAGGCCTTGAGGGCCAGAAGAGGGCCAGCGCGTGGCCCAGCGAGTCCGAGGGCTCTGCGAAAATCGCCTCCATCTTCTCAGACTACTACGATCTGGGCTATAACATGCGGTCAAACTTGTTTCAAGGTCAGGTCAAAGGGCAAGGGTGTGGGCTGTGAGCACCCAAGGTCCCCACGGGGAAGGGGCAGCCTGTGGGGTGTCTACCCGTTCCTGGGCCTCTGTGGATCAGAGCCCAGACACGTCCCCTGGGATCCTCATCTCGTGGCCACCAGGGGCCTGCTCTTTGCCAGGCCGTGTGCCGAGTGCTGTAAATGTCCAGTCCCCTGGCCAGTCCATCTGTGCTGTACAGGTTGCCTGTCCCAGTTGGCTGTCATCTCCTCCCTTCCCGAAACACCTCTGGTGTCCTAATGGCCAAGACCCGGCCCCCTTGGCCTGGGCACCTTTGGTCACAGTGACCACAGCGAGTGCTGTGAATCCCGCCCACGCCCCCTTTAGGTTTCTGGTTCAAAGCTCAGCTCAGCCGCTCACTGGGTGTGGCCTCACCCAGGTGGGATCCTTAACCTCTCTGAGCCTCGGTCACCTTCTTGGTACAATGAGGACAATGGGATGACAGGGCCCACTCTGGGTGGCTGGCAGGTCTCTCTGCGGCGCGTGGCCTGTGACACGCAGTGAGTGCTCCGCAGTGAGTGCTCGGCAGTCAGCAGGCTGGGATTTCTCCTTCCTGGTGCCAGGTGGTGGCGCCACCTGGGGGCAAGGGTGGGTCGGGGACACTGACGGTGTCCTGTGGGTCAGCCATGGACCTGTCTGGGCCGGGTGCGTGCCGTTAGCTCCAGCTCACTGACGGGAAGAGTTTGCCCCGGGGCCTTTCTCTCGGCAGTCGGAGGTGGACCTGAAGCTCAAATCTAGGGATTTTTTTTGTTTGCCTGTGAACCCCGAGTCTTTCCGGGTCACCTGCCTGGCTGGGACCCCGTTCCCAAGTGAGTTGCTCAGATCGGGGTCCATGGCCAGCACGCAGGGGCTCCCCTCGGCCCCCACGGTCCAGTTCAGGCTTTTCTGGCCCTCTTCCCTCCTCCGGCCTCGCGCCGGGCCCTCCGCAGCCTCCCCCGGGGCCTGGCACCCCTCCTGCCCTGGCTCAGGTCCCCGTCACCCGAGGAACCAGACAGCCACTGGAACTGCCTGGGTTTCTCTTTGCGCTCGGACCAGGGGCGGTGCTGGCGGAGGGGAGACGGAATACAGCCCGGATTGTCCTGTGCTCTGGGCCTCTGGGACCAGCCTCCCACTCGTCTCCTGAACAGTTGTCAGTAGTTCTTACATTCAGCCTCTTCCAGGAATGTCTCCGTAATGTAGACGATTGACATAAAAATCGGGGTACCCATCACCCAATCTGAGAAGCACCCCTGCGAGTCCTGCCAGCTTGCCCAGCTCACCAGGGTCGGTGGTTGAATTTTCCTGGGCTGGTGGGTTGGTGTTACAGTGCTACACTGGTCGCGGCGGGGTTTACATTCCAGAAATGAGCGAGTGCTGTGAATCCCGCCCACGCCCCCTTTAGCACACGGCTGTCACTGTGCCCCACCCCCACCCCCACCCCAGGTCAGCAGCCCCTGCATTTGCTGTTGCGGATGGGTGAGGCTGGGGGCTGGGCAGGAGGAAGAGGCGCTGGGGAGGAACCCGGCGAGGTGGGGAGGGCCGGGGAAGGTTTTCTGTCTTCGCGAGAGAGGAAGCCCGGGAGGGTCTGTACTCAGGAGAACGGCGTCATCTGACTTGGGTTAAAGGATCGCTCCCAGTGCCGCGTGGGGAATAGTTATGTGGGAAGCTGGGGCAGGAACAGGGAACGTGGTGAGGAGGGGCGGAAGGGGGGGTCTGGTCCGGGGAGCAGGGCTGGCGTGCTGCAGGAGCCGGAGGGCACCGCTGTGCCACGCGGGGCCCGCGGAGGCCGCGGTGGAGGCCGTCTGCAGGAGCAGGGTTCTGGGCGTTTGTTTGTGTGAGGTAGCGCGGACAGGCTAGGGTAGCGAATGGATTCGGGGTGTGTGAGAGAGGAGCTGAGGTCAAGGTCAAGGGTTTTAACTTAACTGGGAAGGTGAAATCCTCTGCACGGAGATGGAGAAGGTTCCCGGAGGAGAGGCTGATGAAATCCTCCACCGCGCTGAGTCATAAAGACGGTCTTTTTTCTTAGTCTTCTAAAACTTCAGTTTTGCTTTTCACATTTAAGCCTTTAATCCACCTGGAGTTGATTTCTGCTTGGACTGTGAAACATTTTTAATGCCTCCTTTAAGCGGATTACCAATTGTCTCAGGCCGGGTATAGAACAGTCTCCCCCCCGCCCCCGCCGCGCCCCCGCCCCCCAGCGACCCGCAGGGGTCCAGATCGGTTTCCAGGCTAGCCGCTGCGCCCACCAGTCTAATGTTACACTTTCTTTCTTTTTCTTTTTTTAAGGTTTTATTTATTTATTTTTTAGAGAGGGAAGGGAGGGAGAAAGAGAGAGAGAGAGAAACATCAACGTGCGGTTGCTGTGGGCCGTGGCCTGCAACCCAGGCATGTACCCTGACTGGGAATCGAACCTGCGACACTTTGGTTTGCAGCCCACACTCAATCCACTGAGCTATGCCAGCCAGGTGATGTTACACTTTCAGTTACCGAGGTGTCACTAGTCATCTGCTGTCTGGCTGGGTAAACCCCCTCCCCCACCCCAGCGCACCGCACTGCCACCAGCAGCTAATGCTGGGGTTACTCTAGGGCCTTTACTCTTCTGTGCAGATTCTAGAGATTCTAGAATCAGCCCGCCAGTTTCCACGCAAAGCTCTGTTGAGCTTTTGGTGGGAAGGAAGTACATCGAATCCACAGCTCAATGTAGTGGAGGTTGTCAGTTTGGGGATAGTGAATTTTCCAATCCTTGAATATGATATCCAGCTCCATTAATTTTATTCTTCCTTCAATATCTGTCTGTAACAGTTTCTATTTTTTTTCTATAAAGATTATACAAGGGTTTTTTTTTGTTAGATTTATGTAGAAAAACCTCTTTTTTGCTGTTTATTGCAAATGGTATCTTTCTTAAAGTTACATTTTCTAACTTTCCTGCTTATATATACTCAGGACAATTTTAATTTTTGTGCATTCGTCGTATATACAGAAGCCTTACCCAGCTCACCTATTAATTCCAATAATTAACTGGTAGATTCTTTGGGGCTTCTTTTTGATAATAATAATGGCTACATTTATGCACAGCATGTAGCATGTGCCAAGCACGGCTTTACTTTAAATACATCTTAATTCTCACAAGAACCTTACATAGTAAGTGCTATAATTCCCCCTTTTTTAAAAAGATAGACAAAAATGAAGCATAGAAAGGTGAAATAACTTGCTTAAAGCCACATAGCTAGGAACAGGCAGAGCTGGGATTCGAACTCTGGCAGCTTGGGACCAGTAGGCTCTTCCTGCCTTTAGGCCACCCGTCCTGGCAAACTGGTCCAGATCAGGGGTGCCTATAGGCAGGGAGGAACGGTCATCCTTATCTCACTCTTGATTCTCACACTTTACCATTAAATAGAATATTTTGAAATCTGTATCAGATTAAGGAGGGATCCCCTTTATTTCTAGTTTGCACATTCATTTTAAAAAATTATGAACAGGTGTTGGGTTATAGTAACTATTTATACAATGGTGATTTAGATGATCATATGGTGTTTTTTTCTTCGATCTGTTGATGCGGTGAATTCTATTCATTGGTTTCCCAATAGTAAACCAAACTTGCATTCCTGTGTTTAAACCAGTATGGGTGCACTGTCTTTTTTTTTTTTTTTTTTTTTACCCATGAAGACCCACCCAGTGGAAGAGTGCATAAAGCCTATGTGTGCAGCTTAAAGCTTGGCCGTGGCCGCCTGCCGCCTCGCAGGTGGGGTCTCGCAGGGGCCGGGAAGCCTCCCCTCCCTTCTTCCAGCTGCATCACCTGACTTTGGTCAACCCTCCCCCACCTTTGCTTTTCTCTGTAGTGCCAGCACCTCTGTATGAACCCCTGTGTGGTGTTAGATAGACCACCTAGAGTAGACCCCTCAGAGCCGGTGACCTCCGAGTCAAGGCCTGCAGGAGGGGAGCAGGTCGGGCTGCGGGGTGCTGGGGGAGGGGCAGTGGGGCAGAGAGACCCCATGAGGATGTCGGCTTGTCCTGGGCTTCTTCCTGGGAGCCACTGTAGCCTGCGCCACACCTCACGGGGATGTCTGGTCTCTATCACGCCTGGGCTTCCGTCCAAATGCCTAGCTCAACAACCTGCTATGTAAGCTTGTAAAGCCGTGCCTGCCAAACACCATAAACATTGCTTTGCAAAATGTTGATTTCTAGCTTGATGGCATTGTCTCAGGCAACGCGGCCCATAATGATTTCAGTTGTTTGAAATTGTCGAAACAGCTTGCTAGCCCAGGGGTTGGTCTACTTTGTAGATGACCAATGTGTTTGAAAATATTCTCTCGGGTTCGAGATTCCGTTTGTCTAATAGAGCAGGCTTGCTAATGATTTCTCTATAAATCTCCTAACTCCTTGTTACTATCCTTTGCTTGATCTATTAATTACTAAATTGATGTCCCTTTCCGTCTTTCCTGCTGATAGCAGATCTGTCCATTTCTCCGTGCAGCTGTCACTTGTGCTTCACCTGTTTTGACGTGACCCTAATGTAGCAAATTCAGAACTAGTACATCACCTGAGTGAATGGCAGTTATTTCTATTTCTCACGGTGCCTTTGCCTTAGAGTGTATTTTGTCTGATCATTTAAATACAATGAGAACGAATTGCTTTTGGTGAGAATTTGCTTGCTCTATCTTTTCCTGTATTTCTGTGTTTATCCTTTTTCTGTGTCCCCTGATTCCAAGTATGCTTTAAATAATATATAACTGGAAAATGTGTCTGCAGCCTGATCATCTGTTTTTCTAAATCAGTGAGTTAGTCCACATATATTTATTCTAATTACCCACGTATTCGGATTCATTCCGATGACCTTATTTTGTGTTTTCTGTTTCTGCTTCCTTTTCTCTGTTGCTTTTCCCCCTGCTTCGTCTCCTTTCTTATTTGGGGTTCAAGGGAGTTTTCTTTTTTGCCCCGATGTAATTTTGTCCTCACTCTCCTTATCCATCCGGTGGCTACCTCTGACGTTTTTGCACACACAGGTGACGCATTCTAGAGTTAACTGCGGTCTTCAGGCTCCTATAAACACACTAGGAGGCTTCAGCTTTGTCCTCCGCACTCCCATCTCAGCCTGCATGCCGTTCTCTGACAGAATTTTAACTCTCCACAAGTGAAATAGTCAAAACCATGGATTTGGGGGCCACAGGGCCTGGGTTGGAGTCCCAGGTCTTTTGCTTACCAGCTGTGTGACTTTAGCCCAGTGACTCAACCTGTCTGTGCGTCAGTGACTTCAGCAGTTAGATGGGGGCGGTGGGGCTGGCGAGGAGATTCCCTGAGTAAGTTCTGTGGAACTCTGAGAACTAGGTCCTCAGTACGTGGTCGGCGATCGGTGCCGTCATCACTTGCTCCGTACGTTTGACATTCTACTGTTGTTAGAACTGAGGTGCATTTAGATGTACACGCAAAGTCTCCACTTTCTTTGCCTACCGTTCCTTCTTGTATCTCAGATCTTCCTTCTGGGATCATTTTTTATTTTCTGTCTTAAATATGTGGTTTAGATATTTTTGGTGAGATTCTGTTGTTGGTAAATCTTAGGCCCATAAAAAGTCTTCGTTTCATCCTCATCCTTAGTGGGCAGTTACTGTAAACAGTTCTAGACGGACGACTGTTCTCTGCCAGCAGCTTTGATGATGTATTTCCTCCTGGTTTCGATGGCGATTGAATTTATTGTTATTCTTCCTAAGTAATCTGCCTTTTGTCTAGGGCTCCTTTTAAGATGTCTTTGTCTCTAGTGTTTTATTTTTATTTTTTATTTTTTTTTAAATAAATTAATCAACTTCCCCACACTACAGTTTCAATGGTACCTGAATGGTCATTTTAGAATATTTGTACATAATCGTACTGCCAAATCAGTAAACTGATAAACATGTTTTTTAAAGATTTTATTTTATTTATTTTTAGAGAGGGAAGGGAGGGAGAAAGAGAGAGAGAGAGAGAAACATCAATGTGCGGTTGCTGGGGGTCATGGCCTGCAACCCAGGTATGTACCCTGACAGGGAATTGAACCTGCGACACTTTGGTTCGTAGCCCGAGAACCAATCCACTGAGCTACACCAGCCAGGGCTTTATTTTTATTTTTAAAAATATTTTATTTATATACTTTTAGAGAGAGGAGAAAGAGAGGGAGAGAAATATGGACTGGTGGCCTCCCAGGATCCCCCACCTGGGGACCTGGTCCACAACCCAGGCGTGTGCCCTGACTGGGACCCTCTGGGGGTCCCGGACCCTCTGGGGACCAGTGACCCTCTGGTTGGCAGGCCGGTGCTCAATCCACTGAGCCACACCAGCCAGGGCTCTAGTGTTTTAAATTACAGTTGGGTATGCCTAGTATGGAATTATTTTTACTTATGCTGGTTGGAAAATTACAATATGATTTTTGAATCTAGGGATTCATCTATTTCATCAATTTTGGGAAAATCCCAGCCATTATCTTCAAATATTGCTTCTTCCCATTTCCCCCCAGTCACCCCTTCAGAACGCCAGTTAGATGTATGTTAGGCCTTTGCATTTAACCTTCATTTAACAGCTTTTTTATATTTTTCACATCTCTTCCCCCATGTGCTGAATTCCAGAGAATTTCTTTAGCTACACGTTCCAGTTTGCCGCTTTTCTCAGCTGTATCTAATCTGCTATTTTACCCGTCCATTGAGTTTGTTCTCAAACATTTTGATGTTAATTTTAGACTTAGAGAAAGGAAGAAGGGGTAGTTTAATGGACAGAGGTGTCATCTTCCCCCAGCATCAATAATTATTAATCCAATTATTAATCCAATTATTAACCCGTGGCCAATCTTATCTCACCTTTTCTCCCACCCACCCATCAGCCTCACCCCAGATTATTTCAAAGGCATCTCAGGCCTCTTATTATTCATCGAATTTTCAGTTATTATCTCTTTCATTTCCGACATTCCATTTGCTCCTTTGACTAATCTGCTCTTTCTGGGCACTGTCTTCTGCTTCGTTTATGTGTTTATTCTCCCTCATGACTCCGAACATTAAATATTCTTATTTATACTCTGTAACTGATCATTCAAATCTTGCTGTCTTTCGGGATTTGGTCCTCTGATGTCTCTGCCAACTCTTTATCACAGTAGTGTATTTCCTCCTGGGTGTTTTACCTTTAGACATAGAAATAAATCTTGTGAAAATACAGATGTTAATGGCCACAGGCCACTATGCTTCGGTGAATTTCCCATAATGTCATGTCGCCCATGCAAGATCATTTTCTTCCGTTGAAGAGGTAAAGAGACCAGAGCTCCGCGAGGTTAAAGACTTCTCGGAGGCCGCACGGCCCATAAAGGATGGAGCTGGGGCCTGCCGTCCTCTGCCTTGCCCTCCCTGCTCCCCCACGCTCCCACAATCCGCCCTCCGTAGTGGAAACTGACGTCCCGGGAGCAGCCAGAGCAGCTGGCCTCCGTCGACTTGGGGCTTCTGGGGATTTCTTTGTGGGGTTCCGCAGGGGCCTCGGAGGAGGTGAAGAGCCTCATGAAGGACTCCTACACCCCGGAGGTGCTGGAGAAGGCGGTGCGGGACCCAGAGCACTGGCACGGCAGGAAGACAGACGACCTGGGTATGGGGGGTGGGGCTGGGGCGCGGGGCGGGGTGTGTTGGCCCCAAGGTCCAGAGAGAGACCAGAGCGAGCAGCAGGGAGGGCCCTGGGTGTGGGCGGTGGGCCTGGGTCACCACGGGTCCTGGGGGCACTCGGAGTGATCAGTGCTGGCGTCTGCCCTGCTCTCTGCAGGACGGTGGCACCAGAAAAACGTGATGAACATGAACTTGCAGAAAGCATTGGATGAGAAATACGAAGAGAAGAGCAAAAGCAAGAGCTCGAAGTACTAAATCGGACCCAGCAGCGGTGCCCTGGACTCAGAGAGAGCGCTAACAGTGCAGTTAACAATAAAGAAAGGCGCAGGTCTAGTTCTTCTCCGCCCGCTTGGGGCCGCTCTTCGCGCTGGGGTGGGGGCCGGTGTGCGCAGTGCTGGCGAGGCCTGCAGCGGGAGCGCAGAAGCCCCGAGGGACCCAACTGTCCCCCAGACACACACACACTCCCTACCTTCCCCCATAATTCCAGGGGAGGATGGGAGGGCTGGGCGGGGCTCTGTCTCAGGACCAGCCTGCGGGCTTCTCCCTCATGCCCCGTGCGGAGGCGTCTTAGGGCGGGCACTGCTGGATCTTGCCTTGTGTGCCCTCCTGAGCTGAACCCCAATTATTTCCAGACACCCACTTCTTCCCTATGAGCTCAGGGACTTCAGAGGAATCGGTCACATCCCTCTACAATCCAGTGGTAGTTTTGATTGGTCTCATGGTAATTCTGGCCCCTCCCTCTACACAGGTGATTGGGTCAGAAATGGGCAAGTGACTCAGCTTGGCCAATGAGATGCAAGGGAAGGTGTGTGTGTGTGTGTGTGTGTGTGTGTGTGTGTGTGTGTGTGTGTGCCTGTGTGTGTGTGTGTGTGTGTGGCCTTCTCTGTGTGTGTGTGTGGCCTTCTGTGTGTGTGTGTGTGTGTGTGTGTGTGTGTGTCGCTTTCTGGGGTTTTCTTTTCTTTACTAGGAGAGCCGGGAGCGTCTGTCTCTCCTGTTGTATTGGGCGAGGAAGCATGCATCCCAGACCGCTCCTGGCAGACGCCGTCTGGGTCCTGTGCAATCAGGGTCCCCCAGGCCCCTCACTGAGGGGCTCCATTCCCCTGGCCAGGGCTTCTTTTTTGTTCTTGTTTTTTAAGATTTTAGTTATTTATTTTTAGACCTGGCCTGCAACCCAGGCATGTGCCCTGACTGGGAATCGAGCTAGCGACCCTCTGGTTTGCAGCCTGTGCTCAATCCACTGAGCCACACCAGCCGGGGATGGTTAATTTTTGCTCCAGGTGGCACCTGTGGTGAAGATGTCTGCCTCTCTCACGTACCAGGCGCCTCAGCTGGGAGTTCTACAGCTGGGGACAGGCAAGGCACCGCTCTCCAGCCAGCCTGCACTTTTCTTCCTGGCATGGTGACCGGGTTCCAAGAAGGAGCCTTCCAAGGGGACAAGAGTCAATGTGCGAGAACTTATCACTCCTTGCACTGGCTTGCTAATGTCCCTGTGGTCTGAAGGTCATGTGGTCAAAAGGTCATGTGGTGAAGCCCAGACGCCTTGTGGGAGGAGACTACCCTAGAGATTTCCTGTGGGCGGGATCAGTTCACTGGGGACCACTGCAATGAGTCTACCACGGTGACCATCACACTTTGGAAAAGTCAAACAGGATCGCTGCCAGGAGAAGGGGGGCTGCTCCTCTTCCCACAAATAGAATGACTTCCTAAAGGTCGGATCGGAGCAGGACGCAGTACAGAGAGTGAATTTAGCTTGATTTACTATTTATTGAATACCGACCTATGTGCAAGGCGTTGCACCCAGCTCGACTTCCATACTGAGAACCTGATTTCTGCAAAACGCTGCTCTCGTTCTGGAAAAACCAGACTTTACTGAGTAGCTGTGACCAGCTCAGCACACAGGACGACTGGAAACACGAGCCGCCCTGTAGGGAACCTCTTCTCGTGGCGTGGAAATGTAGCTCAGCCCTCACGTGGAAAACCAGTGGGGAGTGAGTGGCATGCAGGACCATGCCCACGGAGAGGTTTTCCCGTGGGGAATCAGGCCCGCATTATACCCAGGCCGCTGTGAGACTTGCCTCTGCTAAAACTCCCTCACCCTGAACTGAGGCAGCAAGGGCTTACTGCAACTTCCTGCAGTGTGTGCTAAACCTCCCAAGGACGGAGTGTGACCGGTTCAACCGCTTTCCCCCTGATCTGCAACATTCTTTCCTTTGTCATCTGTAACATAGGCAGTCCCCTGCAGTGACCCTGTGCCTAGTAAACGAGGACTGCCCTCCATCTAATGCACCCAGAGAAGCAATTAAAGCCTGTCCAGGCAGGGACTGGGTGCTCTAACCCTCTCTCCCTCTCTCTCTCAGAGAGTGGCCATGCCGTCCCTTTTTCTCCACAGGACTTCTGTTGTCCGTGTGTCTTTGTTCACGAGCAGCCACACCACACACGGATCCTGCTGGCCGGGATCCGCCTTACCGCCCAGGGTGTTGTAGCCAAAGCAAACCCCAAACCGTGTGGACACGGAAATTATAATACACCAGATGCATATAACAACGTGCTGAAGGCTTCACACACTCATCCTCCCCTCACCCTGACCCCCTCCCTCAGGGCTGCTCCCGTTCTCCCCGGGAAGGTGCGAGACAGAGGCTCACAGAGGCCGTGCAGTTCGCCCGAGCTTCTACCGACAGGGAGCTGGGGTTGAAACTCCGGGAAAGCCCTCTTCTACGCTACCAGGCAATCATGCGGGCACGTCAACACACACGCACCGAGTGCCACAAACACGTGACCCTGTTAGGCGCTGTGGGACGGTGATGTGACTCCACCGCAGTGCCTGTCCTCAAGGACTTCACAGTCTGTGGAAGACCGATGCGGAAGAAGCTGGATCTAGGCTCGCCCGCCCACCCGGCGAGCATGCCCTCCCTGCCCGCCCTGTGCGGTGTTTCAGTGGGAGCTCAGAGACGAGTAGGACACGGCGCCTGTCCTCTGTGTGTCCAGAGTCCGGTGTGGAGATGCATGTGCAGCGAGAGGTTCATATGGCACCAGTGAAAGCACAAAAGACAACTTGGGATAGGACAGCAGCTGGTAGTCATAGAGGACTTCATGGAGGAGGCGGCTCCTGAGATGAGTCTCGGGGCATGAGTCTGTACGTTCAGGTGGGCTGGGAGAGGCACAGCATTCCCGACAGAGGGCACAGTGCGAACAGAAACCCAGCATGGCGGATTTGGGGAGCTGCAGGGTGGGAGCGTGTTGAGCCTGGAGAGTGGGACTCCGAGGTGAGGCACGGAGGTCAGGCTGGGAAAGTAGAAAGGGCATCTCTGCTCAGATGGGGCTGTGAGAGCCCTGGAGGGCCTCAGAGGTGAGACCCCGCCCTCCCTCAGGAGCTTATGGTCCGGCGGGAACATAAAGGGTTAATAGTGACTGCAGAAACCACAGTGAAGGCTTGAAAGGATGCTTAATATCCTCAATAATCAGAGAGATGCAAATTAAAACAATAAATTCATCTTGTCGAAGTGTAGGTGAGGTGAGGACAGAAATGCGAACTCTCATACCCTCAGTGAATTATGAGCGCAGAACGGCGAGGAAGAATTTAGCGAAACTGAAACGATATCTTGTAACTTGAGATTCTGTGTCCACGTAGCCTAGAGAAACTCAAACATGCACACTGGGAGCCCCGCACAAAGAGATTCGTGGCAGCACTGTTTGCCGTTGCAAAGCGATGCACAGGTCTGTGAGCAGGGGAACGGACAGATGGGCTAATGCACGGCCGTGGAAAGGAATGGACACACACCTCACAGAAAGACCTCACAGGGTAGCACCGTGCAGCACGGTGGGTGCACACGGCCATCTGCAGAATGAGCCCCGGGCAAGAAACGTACTGTTTGCCCACAACCGTCCAAAGGCACACACACAGCCACTCCGCTGCTCAGGGACATGGTTATGAGAGCGTGGAAGGTGGGTTGGGAGGATGCTGCAGAATTCAACTTCACATTCTAGTGAGCTTAGCCCTTTGCAGGCATGACCTTGCTCTCTATAACTGTGTGTGTGTGTGTGTGAGAGAGAGAGAGAGAGAGAGAGAGAGAGGAAGAGAGAGAGAGAGAGAGGGAGAAAGAGGGGGAGAGAGAGAGAGAACACGCAAGAAGAAAGACAGAGAGTCGCCAAAGTGCCCTCCAGGAGAATGTCAATGCCGGAAAGAGAGGCCGAGGAACAGAACGCTGGGGGGCTGAGCCATCCCGATTCTGATGTCAGTGAACAAACCATACGAGCGTCACCACTTTTTCAGACACTGTCTCAGTTGAAGATTTTATCTTGGAACATTAAGAGGAACTCCTTTACTTTAAATCTTGGATACTTTGGAGAGAGAGAGGCTGTAATCCTGGCAAAATAAAACATGCACAGATTTTTAAAACTTAAATGAGGTCTTTATTTCACAGATGCTGTTTCAACAGTGCTGCTTATTCTTCGTGCTCTGGAGGTCCCTCGGTGGTGGAATTCCTAGTGACTCAAGTTTCAAGGAGGTTCAGGGGCCAGATCTTAAGTAGCATGAATTCACACAGCGGAGAAGTCATTCACCCTTCAGTGCAAGTAGGGCCTCCTTTCCTCTGTGATTCAGAACTGGCTTCATAATTTCTGCTCTGAGTACCATGGGAGGGTGGCAATCCTGCAGTTGACCAGCACCACGTGGTTGTATCCCTAGTCCAGCTCGCCCCCTGGTGGCAGTATCTCTAAATTGCAGGCAAAGAACTTAAGGAGGGAACTTGGAGACCACTGAGTTTCATCTTTCTAACCATGCCTTTCTTGCTGCCATCCATAGCTCCATTTTTAAATGAAGAAACTGCGGCCCAGTTAGATTTACGTCTAATCTGGAAGTTAACAGCCCATGTTGGCCAGCATGGCAAATCCAAATAAATGGTCAGGGTGGCTGGCCCAGTCTTTTCCCGTTCTCCCTCCAGAAATCAGTTTCTGTGGTTAGCAGGAGCACGCAGCAGCTGCAGCAAATGCAGAGGAAAATCCAAATGCTGGTCTGTGGTCAAGGGGAGAGTCTGCAGCCCCAGGTGACTCCCTAGCTGGGCCAAGCTCCTGGGGAAGGCCACCACACCTGTGGACGCCTGCTTCTCCTCTGCGGCAGGGGCGGCAACTCTTTTCTCACAGGCCCGTCTCAGGGTTACCTGGGAAAATTCGCGTCCAGCACCTGGCCCAGTGCATAGCCCCCACCACGGGTGTGTAATAAGCGCTCACTCTTTTCCTTCCTTCAGGCCCAGGTTTCCCAACTCCGAGTTTCAAGGAACTCTGGGACCTGTGAATAGGTC